GCTTCCGTCGGCTAGGCCCCAAATTTGCACTCGAGGTATTCCGTCTTCGTCCTGCTCAACCTAAAACCTTTAGACTCAAGGGTATGTCTCCAAACCTCTAGCCTCTCGTTGATGCCGCGTCGTGTCTTGTCAATTAGGACTATGTCATCAGCAAATAGCATGCACCATGGCACCTCCCCTTGAATATGATGCGTTATGGCATCCACCACCAAGGCAAATAGGAAAGGGTTGAACGCAGACCCTTGGTGCAACCCCGTAACAACCGGAAAATGCTCGGAGTCTCCTCCTGCTGTCCTAACCCGAGTCTTAGCTCCATCATACATGTCTTTAATCACCCTAATGTAGGCAACCTGTAATGACCCGACCGGTCGTTTTGAGCTTTTACACTTTGCTCGCCAATTCTCGGGCATGACTTGCCCTATGTAGTGTATTATGACTTATGTAAATCGTTGGTGTTGGGTTTCAGGTTAATCAGAATGAATTTGGAAGAACAGTCTCAGTTGAAAGCTTAAAATTTCAAAGTTTGGCCAAAATTTGACTTGTTTGTATTTGTTCTCAGATTGGAATTTTTATGGTTTGGTTAGCTCCGTTAGGTGATTTGGGACTTAGGAGCGTGATCGGAATGCATGTTGGAAGTCTGTGGAAGGTTTAGGCTTGAATTGGTGAAATTGAGATTTCGGCATTTTCCGATTGATAGGTGAGATTTTGATATAGAGGTCGGAATGAAATTCCGAGAGTTGCAGTAGCTTCGTTGTGTCATTTGGGATGTGTGTTCAAAATTTCAGGTCATTTGGACGAGATTTGAGAAACTTTTTTATCGAAAGTATAATTTAAGAGTTCTTGGAGTTCTTAGGCTTGAATCCTATGTTAAATTGATGATTTGATATTGTTGTGAGCGTTCCGAAGTTTTGAACAAGTTTGAACGATGTCATGGGATGTGTTGGTACAATTGGTTTGAAGTTCGGGGTAGGTTCCAGGATGTTTTAGGCCGAAAATCATAGCTGTAGCATGTCCAGAAGGGTTGCAGGCCTTGGAACCCACCCGCGCGGTCCGCACAAAATGAAGTACGTCCGCAGTATGTGCTGTGTGGACCGCACAAAAAGAAGTGCGTCTGCGGTAGGTGCTGTGCGGACCGCACAAATTGTAGTGTGGCAGCAGTGAGAATATTTCACTGGTCCTACTTCGCAAGCTCATATCATTTGATCTACAAAGAATTTTGAGATGAATCAAAAATGGAAATTGTAGATCTTTGAATCTAGTTTTCAGAAACATATTATAATAGCATTTGACATCTGTAGCGGAAGTTATGGCCAAAAGACTAAAGCCTGTCATTGCAGATGAAAACCTGTGCGGCCGCAGTCGTTTTTGTGCGGACTGCACTAGTTTTGTGCGGACCGCAATCGTTTTTGTGCGGTCCGAAGAGGTGGAAATCCGTGGGGGTACTCTATAAATACGAGTTTTTGGGTTTTATTTAATATTTTGACCTAGAGAGCCCGAATTTTGGCGAGTTTTCGAAGGTTTTTCAAGAAATTCATCGGGGTAAGTGATCTAACTCAGATTTGCTAGAGTACATAAATCTATCATTGAATTCATCATTTAATTCGTGATTTGGTATGGAATTTGGGAAGAAAATTTGTAGAATCTTCCAAAAATATAAAATGATGATTTGAAGGACCAAATGGTATCAGAATTGGATAATTTTAGTATGGTTAGACTCGTGAGGGTATAAGGATTCTGAAAATATAAATTTTACCCGATTTCGAGATGTGGGCCCGGGGCTTGGGTTTTGGTAATCTCGGGAATTGTGTCATATTTTGATTTTTTTCGCTTGGGCTTTGTTCCCTTAGCATATTTTGACGTCCACATTCTGATTTTGGATACATTCGACGCGCGTGGAGACCGACTTAAGGGGCAAAGGCATCGCGAGCTAGAGATTTAGTCGGTTCGAGGTGAGTAATGATTGTAAATGATGCTCTGAGGGTTTGAAATCCCGGATTGCACATCGTAGTGCTATATTGAGGTGAGGCACACGCTTGATGACGAGCGTGGGGTCGTTCACTATTGGGGATTGTGACTTGGTCCGTCCCGATTGATGATTTTACCGCGTATTTGACTGAAACTTGTTTTCTTTCATCAGCTTGGGGCTGATTGCCATATTTGGGCTTCGTGCCAACAATTTGAAACCTTCAGGATTTTTATTACCATTTCCTCACTGTTTGACTTATTACTTGAACTCAGTCCCGTTATTTTCCACTGTTTACTACTCAGCCAATTTTACTCAATTTTGAGACTTAAATGATATTTTAAATGATGTTTTCGGCTGAGAAATACTGTTTTACTATTGCCCGAGGGGCTTGTGAGTATTTTTGACTGAGTAAGGCCGAGGGCCTAGTTGTAAGGAAACACTAATACTGATTGAGGCCGAGGGCCTGAGATATGTACGCCACGAGGTGGCTTATTGATATTGTTTATTAGGTTGAGGGCCTGAGATATATACGCCACGAGGTGGCTTGACTGATATGAGGCCGAGGGCCTAGATTTGATGCCACGAGATGTCTTGATATTGCGCTTGGGCCGTAAGGGGCCCCTCTCGGAGTCTGTACACCCCAGTGAGCGCGAGTACCCATTATGATGTGAGAGATAGCCCGAGGGGCTGATATTGTTCTATGTGATAGCCCGAGGGGCTGGTATTGTTCTATGTGATTGTCCGAGGGGCTGGTATTGTTCTATGTGATTGCCCGAGAGGCTGATACTATTATATGTGACTGCCTGAGGGGCTGGTATTG